CATCTGGATATACGCATCTACACAGCCGTACATACAGGGTACGATGGATAAATTGTCGTCTAAATTACGCAATAATGAAAATAACACTGACATCTCATTTTAACAGATATATACACCAAAATTACACAAAATTATCTTAAAATGCTAAAGAGTTAATGTATTCAATAAAATCGCCATTGGCTTTAACCACGACCGCAGACAACTTCGGAATTTCCTGCAATTCTTTTGGACGACCTCCTAGTTTAAGTTGGTGAATGCTACCATAATCCTCTCTTCAGTTCATCTTTGGCGTTACAAGAAGCTTTGTTACTCTCTCGTTCACCTGCGTCACACACAAAATAATAATCAAACACTTTGAAATGTTCTTATTGTAGCTTCCGGTGCGAATGCCAAGCAATACAGCTTTTTCGAAATTTCCTGTGAAGTGAATTGCGCCATGGTGCTTTTTTTTTCTCACAGAGGGTGCCCAACTGACCCTACTATATTGTGCAGTCGGCAAAATCAAAAACAATGCGCATGCGTGAAATTAAACATATTAAATGGCGACAATTTACCCATCGCACATTGGACATCATTATGACATCAAAAACTCTTAATATTAAATCTAAATGTCTAATTACAGATCTACATTAATATACATGCTGGAATTATCCTGATCTACTTTAATGTGCCCATAAGGTTTTCTTTTTTCTCTTGAAATTGATTCATATTTGCTTTTTTGCTCACGCACCTGCACATATGTACGCGGGGAGGCGACATACAGGCAGCCTAATGTAAATACACGCGTACGCTGTTTATAAAGGAGCCACACAAACCGGCACAAGTATATACAAACTCATATATAATATGTTATACTCTCTGCTTCAAAATTATAAACACATCAAAACACTTATAAACAATCACGACAAACACTTCACATCGCCAGTTAAATATACATAGATAGCCAAACATGGTATAATTGATAAACACATCTCAGAAATCATAAAACCCCCTCGTGACACACACGCACTTTGTCATAAATATAAATAGAACTGACCGTATTACCTGATAGATATATGCACTCGTCCATAACTGCCTCGACTCTGTGCACAACACAGGCAAAAATGTTTTTACCATTCAAAGAAAATATATTTCCTTTTCGCCAACTAATACAACACTGAGTACAAATATGGTGGCGAAAATTTTACAATAATACTACTATACAATTACTACTGCTTCGGTGACGATTGACTAATAAAAACGACTATTTTGAAAATGGATAGCACAAATTAAAATTAACCTATATTCGTTATAAAAAAGATATTGTAGTCTTTCACTTTACTTCTTCTATGTTGCGGTGTGCTTCAATGTATGGAGAATCATGGCTCTCCACAATATCTCGTCCTTTGCAGCTCTTAGTAAATTTTATCTTTTTGCTACCTCTCCTAATCCTTGTTTCTATTTCAATTACTGTAATATATAATGTAATATATGTAAGATATTGCTTGTATCCTTTTCAGCATTTCCTTTCTTGCAATAATGGGATACCGTACATTATTTACATTATGCGGACTATTGTCCTCATCTTTGTCGCTATATTTATCACAACGTTTCGGCCGTTGTACGCTCCGGCCTTCTTCAGGTGGTTGGAATGTCGAACTGAACCCTTTATTTCGCTCACTGGGGTAGACTGTTCTAGTCCCACGTGCCATGTTTGATGGATGTCAGTTATCAGTTATCTCCTGTTAATTTCCACTCTGAAAGTTCTCCACTGCCTTAACCGAGTATTGAACTCACACTTTGGTTCCTGTCACTGGAGAACTTCAGAGTGGAAATTGCCAGGAGATCCTTAAGGACATCCATCATGAATTTCTGGATATTAGAACATCATACCCCAGATGTCCGAAATAATGGGTTAAAGTCGACATTAGATCCAGTGAAGAAGGCCGGAGCGTACAACGGCCGAAACGTTGTGATAAATATAGCGACAAAGATGAGGACAATAGTCCGCATAATGTAAATAATGTAAATAGTACCTCATCTCAGAAATATAGACAGACAATGGGATACCGTGTAAGGGTTAACGACTCGGAAAGAGAATTCGACATACTGAGTTCGAATTCCGATCGTTGCGTTCACTTTAACAAAAATACCCTTGGGATATATAAAAGTGCATCTCTTCTTGTCTTGAGGTGGTAACAACTCCTGGAAAAGGAAAATTTTGAATTAAATATCATCCTGAAAATGGATGAGCTCTATCATGGTATTTTACCCAAGACACACCTCTGCTGTTATAGCTGCAGAACATGGGTTGCCCTTATGACTCTAATGGGTTACGGGACTTGTAACGTAAAGACTCTTTTCTTTATCTCCTTCATACGCGAATTTATTTTACTGCTATGATCCACATTGGTATTAAATAGCCTCTGAAAGGCATGAATAACAAGCATATTCATATCTCTGTTTTTAATGTTATTTTCTTTGAGGAAACAATCAGTCACTGCTCTCCACAGCGTCCTTATCGTTAATATATGTGAATTGTCATGAGAACTAGAGAACGATAGTAGAATGGTTTCCCGTTGATTTTTTTGTTTTTTTCTAAATTTTTGGATTCAGAATTGTGCCTCATCTACAGACCGCTTGAAGTTATTATGTAAATCACATAAGCCTCAAAGCTCACACCTGACCTCAAGTGAAACTCGCACATACGGTTCATTGCTGAGAATGCAGGTAAAATGGTCGGCTCCCTGCACCGCTCCAGTAAGTAATTGACCCCTCCTGCTATCCTCTATCTTTACAAGAGTCAGATCAGACCAAACATGGAGTACTGTTGTCCCCCATAAATATATTGACTGTTCAGACAGCACCATTAAAATGCTCTTCACACTGTAGGCAACCTTGATAAGGGATATTAAACTATCAGATTTTTGTTCAATGGTCTGTTTTTTGGTGGATATTTGGTAAAAGAAAGAAAACAGTTCTAATGGAATCCTTACTTAAAGACATTTTTATACTACGGTTCACTCTATCAAGACTGGAAAGTGGGGACTGAGCAGCTCCAGCGCAAATATGGCTGCAATACTAGATTCTTGGCCTAATCCGTCTCTTGATTAGGCATGGCGGAAGTAGTCAGGTACTTCCTGGGGCGATAGAACGAACCAAGCATTTTTAGCAATGGATCGTATATATGAGTTCTATTAATCCAGTGTACACTGAAAGATGTTTCCATATAGATCTGCACTACATATATAAATAGATATGAGCAGACTGAGATAGATAGATAGATAGATAGATAGATAGATAGATAGATAGATAGATGTATGTATGTATGTGCAATAACCAGACCTCGGGTAGATATTTTGTATCTGTTAGCGTTGTCAGTTTGATCTACTTTTCAAAGTCAAGTATGATCAAATTTTGAATATCTCTTCTGGTAACTTTTGAGGCCTCTTCTGAAGACCCAGCGTTAACAAATGTAAACTTCCACTAGTTGCAACTTCAAGAAGCCAATTTCAAAATAAGACTACTAAGAAAAAGAATGTCAATTTAAAATTTAAGTAGCACATGTTAAACTGCGACGCAGATAAACAACTAGCAACCACCGCATGCAGTTTTATTCTATTAAAATGAATCCACAGAAAAAGCAACTTTTTCAAATGCTTATTTTCAAAGTCAGTAGATGTTTCACATATAGAATCTCAATGTACAAGTATTTTCATAAAAAAACTTTTACTCATTTGGATCTTATGAAATATCTACGACAGATCATTGGCTTGAATGCCGATGCAGAGATTTCACTCTTCTCCTGGAATTACCTTCTCTAAAATAATTATCACATAACGGAAGCCGTTTATTATAATCGCAGATAATGTTATCAAACGGTTATTGTTGTCCTTTGATTCTAAAAACTCTATTTAAAACAAGCTTAAAAGCGTTCGGATTTTTAAACTAGCTCCTGCTCCTAGCTAATTGGGCCCCCGTTCCCATACTAAAGAAACCTCTCGTTCAGCTTAGAAAACCGCAATGATAATTTTGAAGAAATACTTTTGAATTCTTCAATTCACTCCATGGAAATTCAAAATCTCACTTAAACTCTGATTCGGGCTATAAGTTCACTTCCGGCCAAAAGACCGATTTGGACCGAAATTCCAATAGAGGCCGAAAATTGAGTTCTTCAAATCACAAACTCTGCGGAACTTCAAAACCTCACGTCACAAAACCTCTCACGTTAACTCTGATTCCTTGGCATTTTAAAGAAATAAAATTGGTTTTCTCAATTCACAAAGTTTTGGAGATATTTTAAACTGAATTTAAAACTAAAATTTTTAAATTCACAAAATTTTTGTGTTGCTTTAAACTCAATATATATGTAAAACTTTTAAAATCCCTAATTTTTCTTTCAGTTATTTTAAAATTCGAATTTTTAACTGTTCCCTCTTCATCCAGACACAAATCCCAATACTGGATGTTCAAGCAACAGATGAAGGGTTGATTTTTCAATACCGGGACCATCTTGATTCCAAAAAGAGGAAAGACAAAGACACACACACACACACACACACACACACACACACACACACACACACACACACACACACACACACACACATATACATATATATAGATGGCTCAATTTTGACATTGTTTTACTATTGAGTAGTTACTGTCAGTTTGGTGATAGTAGTATTTTATTAGTTTCAGTAGTAGTTGTATAAGTAATAGTCTTACTATTTAGTTATTTACATTCTTAGATGGTGTATGCTCTTTAATAATTAATTATGGCTAGAAATTTGTGGTTAAAACAAATCTAAGATAGATTGTTTTTTACGTTTTCTCAACCATTTAAAGCCAGAAAATATTTTTTAGATTCTAAGATTTTTTTAATATAATAATGATGTCCTATTAATTAATCCATAGCTGAGGGAACAAGAGATGGGTTCATGCCTTTTTCAAGCGTATTTGCTTGTAAGTGAATAAAGTGAATTGGAACTCATTCATTACACCACCCACATATCCAAACTTACTACACCTGGTATTCCTAAGCGATCACTCATCTAGGTACTGACCAGGCTCGACTTTGCTTAACTTCAGTGATCGTACGAGAACTGGTGTTTACATGTGATATGGCCTTAAACCAAAATGAGATGGACAAATTTAGTCAGAAATTAATAATGAAAATGCTTTCCATGTATTGTGTTCAAAGGTTTCCATTGGAAAAAAAAAAACAGTTTAAATGTAATGTCAGTCGCTATCTACTGTCCTCCTGATTACTTTTTTCTCTCCCTGCTCATTAATGTTTCTGTTCCTAATTCTTCCACACAATGTAACCTCATTGTGTCTTAGTGGCTTTATTGCCTTGCATATGGGGGTGATAGCGATTAAAAAACACACATAAAAAATTGTATCCAGTTTGTAATTCAAAAAAAAGTCGCCGGGTACTTTTGCATATAGCTAACAAGAATTCAAATAAAACTTTAGATAAATAGATATACATGCAAAGATACGGTTAGATATCAAAATGGAGATGCATATCTCAGTCCCAACTGTAGACTGATTTCGGCTTCAACAATTAGCCACGTGTACGGCTGCTACCAAATCATCATGAACTGACACATGGTCCTTGAGCAAGATTTTTATACTTCATTCGGGATATTTATTAAAAAAAAGAAAAATGCGAAGCACTAAAGAGCATCAGTATCTACTTTTTATTTATCTTTGTGTGTGTGTGTAGTCAACTTAATACATACACATGCACACACGCGTACGCACGTGCGCGCAAAAAAAGGGAAAAGAGGGATTCTTCTTTGTATACCACTTGATGAGTGGCTTGTATCTATACGGAGGTGTGTGTGGGGGGGCTATTGGATAGTGTCGTTTCAAATGGGTGAATGTGTGTGTGTGTGAGAGAGGGAAAGAAATCAACACGTGGTGAACGTTACCGGAAAAACCCAACGTCCGTCACACGTGCTTGTCTTTGAGCTGTAATTGACTCAAAAGCTGGCAAGGCAATGAGCCCGAGGTCGACACAGGAGAAGAAGGTAGGACGATAAGAAGGAGACGAAGAAAAGGGATGTTTTGTTGCTTACAGAAAGAGAAGAACGGGATGAGGAAGAAAACGAAATGAAGTGGAGGAGGCATTTTCCAAAAAGAAGGGATTGTTTAAAAAAAATAAAACTAAAAAATAAAAACAGTGAAAAAGAAATTTAGTACTGGCTTGGGTGGGTATGTTTTTTAGATTCAATAAAAGGTAAGGGCAGGCGATCTTTTTTGTGTAGTTCCGGCCTATTTGATTTGAAGTACATCCCTCTATTCGACGAGCCAGCAGCAACTACCAGCACCACCGCCATCTCAACTTGAGGATGTGATTCAAACTCTTAAACTTTTTTTGAACGATATTTACTGGTTATTTCCCTTTGACTAAAAAGACAGATCAAACATGCCTTCTGTACGACTTCCGTTAACATCAGAAATTGTTTCTTTTGTCCTCAATTTCAGTTTACGTTAATTTGAAAATGTTTCTAGATATGCTTCAGAAAATGAATTAGATATTTGTATTCAGATGATGTATTGTAAAAGTACTAAATAATATTAATTTCTAAAAAGTATATATACGTACATACACGTGCAATGGACACTTTAACGTGGTGTCATAGAAAGCTTGTCTCTCTAGATCAGTTACGACAGAAAAGTGAGTTCGATTCTCACTGTACAATATGTACAATATATGTGCGTGTTCATAGATAAATAGATAGATCTAAATAGATTGATCGATAAATATGAAGACTGAAATAGATAGACAGCTAAAACTACATGTGTGTGTGTAAAATATATCTGTAGAATGAATAAAAACAAAAAAGGAAAACTTATCTTAGCCGACGCGTTTCGTCATCTGATATACTTTTGCCGTTAGAACGAAACGCGTCGACTAAGATAAGTTTTCCTTTTTGTCTTTATATATATATATATATATATATATATATATATATATGTGTGTGTGTGTGTGTGTGTGTGTATTTAGGCAGCAATCCTTCTTTCATGCATATTGCATTGAATACGACAGACATGGTGCTTTGATTTATTTTTTTATACAATTTCTCATGCGATCTAATAATTTTATTCTTTTCAGATGATAAATTATATAAAAATATCCGAATGTTCCTTTAATCCGAGCGCTTTCGGCTATACATTTAGCCATTTTCAAGGATGAAATATTTTAACTGTTAAATAATAGTTTGTTGCATGTATGTATTTATATAATGTTTTCATTTTTCAAAATACGGCCAAGATATTGCGTCCATGTTCATAGTTGATATTATTAAGTGTTTTTTTTTGTTTTTTGCTTTATTTTTTTTTTTTTGTTGCTTTTATTAATATGGCTACGATTATTTTTAGCCTTTTTTTGCATGTAGATGATGCTATTATATTTTTGTTGTCAACAAGTATGTTACGAATAGTGTCCGGTAGGTTTCCATGAATATTTAAATGAGATCTAATTGAGCTATTGTCAGAAAGGTGTAGAGT